TCGTCTAGTAACTATAGAGACACCAAGTTATTTCACCCTAACCAAAGAAAGGGATCACTTTCTTAGTTTTATGGTTCTAATGAAACCTTAAAAGATGAAAAAAAAAAATCAAAGTCAAATTATTCCAAAGTTTTTTTTTTAAAAAAATGGTTTCACTGTCCTGATGTTACCCAGAGAGAAATATTATCAAATTGGTCAATACGTGGAGGCTACACTGACCCATTTTCATTTTGTCTCTTGCATAATAAAGGTGTCAGACATCCAGCTGGTGGTGTGGTGGTTAAGGCGGCCGGATCCCACATGGCCAAACGTGCCAACTGAGTCCTGGACTAGTGGCTTGAAAAGCATGTCAGGCCGCTGCGCATACCTGCCAAAGGAGGGTGGGAGAGAAGAGATTGCAGCGTGGACATCCCTGGGGGCTTTCTTACTTCCTTTTACTTCCTTTTTTCCTTCTTACTTACTTTTTTCTGTCTGTCTCAATCTCTCTCCAATGAGTTCAGGTACCTAAAGCAAATTTGAAAAGAAAAAAAAAAAAGGATTATTATAATAGCTGGAGCCTGTTTAGGAATCTTATGAATAAAAACAAAAACAAATCTAAAATATTTCCCTTATAAGCTGTCATCTAAATATGAAAAAAAGGGACCAGCAAATGATTGTGTTGCTGGACCTAGTGATTATGTTGCTGGACTCCCACATGCCCAAGCATGGTTTGAGTCCCAGACCTGGAGGCTTAAAACTCACACCGGTGCATGTGTGTGCATGCCCAAAGTCCTGGGAGGAGACCAGAGGAGAAGGAACTGCAGCACATGACCATCCCCCCCGGGGAGGAAGTGATTTCTCGCTTCTGTCAGTCTCTCTCTGTCTCTCCGGCAAGCGCATGTGCCCTATAGTAATAATCTCTCTAATAAATGAATAAATATGGGAAAAGATACTCATGGCAGCTCCTGAAATGTCTATTATTGATCAAGATTGATGATATTGGTCATCAATGACAAGAAGGAATCTGAGAAGTATTTGTGATCTTTTCCCCATTGGTCTATGACAGGACATCCTCAGTAGGGCAATAGGGGAGGGGCTGGAGGATTAGAAGCAAGCAGTCAGAACATGGAATATTGGACTTTAGCAATAGCTGAGTGAAAGTCTGAGTGATGACAAGATATGAAATGTAGTCTTGGGAGATGGATAATTGAAGTAGATTGCAGAATGGTACATGAGTTAAGGAAGTACAAAATCACAAAGCTGTGCTACTGAATCACTTATTGATACCAGCTCCTAGGATGGTGCAAGGAGTAGGACAACTATAAGGCCAGGCAGTAGTGTAACGGTTAAGGTGACTGCATGCCACCTGCTGATCAATAGTTCAAGTCCTGGACCTGGTGGCTTAAAAAACACATCGGGCATATGTACCTGCATACCAAAAATCCTGAAAGGAAAGAGAAGTGGAGGAGAAGGAATTGCAGTATGATCATCTCCCAAAGAGGTCCACTCTCTCTTCAGTAAGTACTCATGCCCTCTAGCAAATTGAAAAGCAAAACAAAACAAACAAAAAAAAACTGAGGCTAACTATAAGTTAAGTCTCAAAGTCTTCAGCGAATGAAGACAAGTGACCAGGAGGTTGGTTAATGATGGGGCAGGGTATGTGTGTGGTGGGGGAGAAGAACCTTTAAGAGAAGTAATGAGCTCTTACTTGAGAGTTAAAGAATGAGGGTCTGGAAGTAGCAATGGAGAATTGGCAAATGCCAACTGCTGCACCCTGCTCCACAGCGGCAGAACAAATGGTATGAAACAAACCCTAGCCCAGAGGGACAGTCTCTCAACTCAAGGCAAGGAAGTGGAGGGTATACTTCCTGGAAAACATACTAAGAATGTGGAGTATTCTATTTATAATGGAATATGAGGCTCAGTGGAAACAATGATTTAAGGGTTATGCAGTGATTGGCACCAGAGATGAGAAGGGCTTCATGTGATAGGCAGATATGAGAACGAACTGAACCATTAAGGGAATGAAGGGAATGGGGAGCACAGGAGACTAGACGCATTGCCCTTTCTCTCTCTCTCTCTCTCTCTTTTCTCTCTCTCTCTCTTTTTTTTTGAGAGATTTTTAAAATTATTTTCATTTAACTTCTTTTATTCTTCTTATTACTATTATTATTTTCCAGTTAGATCAGAGAGAGAGAGGGAAAGTGAGAAAGCAAGCCACCAGGTCTGGGACTCAAACTGCAGTTGGCCATGTGGGAGTCCAGCACCTTTAACCACCACACCACCTGCAGGCCCCAGAGAGAGATTTTTGCTATATGGTCTGTGCGCTCACTGCAGAGAGAAACAGAGAGACAAAAGCAAGGGGGGTGGCCCCCAGGGGATGGCCATGCCATTCATTCTCCTCTTGGGATCTTGGGCACACATACACACGCACCCAGGGTGAGTTTCAAGCTGCTGGATCTGAGGCTCGAACCACGATCACTTATGTGGGAGTCTAGCAACATCCATTACACCATCTGCTGGTCCCAACATTGCCCTTTCAAACACTGACTGAGAGTGATAGGGAGAAGAGAAAGATGAATTTCAAATATTATACTTTGCACATGATGTCTTGGTGTAGGAATTGGATAAATTTTCCCCAATACACAGCAACATGGTGAGAGCTGCTGCATAGTTTTGGAAAGGTCACTAGGAATGTGTTCTTTAAGTGGTTGCAATGAGCCGAGGTATGATAAGGGCCCTCTCCAGGTGTGTAGCTCAGCAGGGGAGCTCTTTTCCATCTTATGAGAACTCTAAACTATTAATATCTTCATTTTCTTCCTATCATCTTTTTCTAGACTCTCTTGGTTCTATGCCCTGCTTAGGACTAATGGTTGATCATCTGAACTACTCAAACACAAGACCCTTGCATCCTGCCCTAATGCATGAACCCTGGATCCTTCTCATAGGCTGGGATTTGAACAGCCATCGGCCATGGGATCTAGCTTTCAATGTATAGCACTATGGGCCCAGCCCTTATGTCAGTTTTTGAATTGCTAGTATTTTCTCCTAATGAGTTCTGGTGCTCTATAGCACAGTAAGGTAAAGATACTTAATGATTTATTATATATTTCAGAATAGCTAAAATAAAAGATGTTTAATGTTTCCAACATAAAGTAATGATAAATGTTTGAGATGATGTATATGCTAATTACCCTAATATGATCATTACACGTTATGGTTTAGGTTTCTCATGACTTATAAAAGTTCTCCCTGGGTCAGCAGGTTGCATGGTGGTTAAGGCCTTGGATCCCACATCCCTGACTCTGAAAATCACACAGGGCATGTATATGTGCATGCCTAAAATCCTGAGAAGTGAATGGAGGAGAAGAGACTATATTGTGGCCATCCCCAAAGGGGGTTGGACTTCTCACTTTCTCCCTCTCTCTATCTCTGTCTCAGTCAGTGCACACATTCTATAGTAGAACTTCTAAAAAAGTCTTATTTTCCTTATATAGTCTAATTTTCCCTATATATCTTCCCTGAACCACCAAGCCACTTGCTGGCCCCAAATTAAAATTGTTATGTAAGAAAAGCTATCTAACTGATATCTAATTGACCAAACACCATTTCTTAAGCAGTCCAGCTTTTCCCCACCACTTTGTAAGCTGTGTTGTATGCCATGTTCTTATAAGCATTACTCTTTTTCTGTTCCATTGGGCAATTCATTTACTTATGCTTTGATACCACAGTGTCTTAGTTTTTTCTTATTCTTATTTTTCTTTTGTCTGGCCTATTCTTGGGCATTTTCTACAAAACACCATCAACTGGTCAAATTCTACAAGACAACCTTCTGGGATTTTGATTTTAAGATGTTAAATTTATATATTAGGGAGAATTGCTCCTTTATAATATTATTTCCCTTTGGGAACACATCTCTTCTATTTTTTTTAGAGGTTTTTGCTATAGGGCGCGTGCGCTCGCCAGAGAGACAGAGAGACAGAAAGCCAGCAATCATCCCCCCAGGGGGGATGGCCACGCCGCAATCCCTTCTCCTCCATTCTCCTCTCGGGATCTTGGGCACGCATGCACACACGCCCGACGTGAGTTTTAAGCCACCGAGTCCAGGAAGCGAACTGCAGTCGACTACGTGGGAGTCCAGCGACATAGCCATTACGCTAAATGCTGGTCCCTGAAATAGAATTAACTTTTTAAAGTTTGTTTGTTTATTTATTTATTTATTTATTTATTTATTTATTTGAGAGGCAAGTACTTTCTTAACAGGGTCTCATGCATGATCTCTCCCCCACTATTTATTTATGCTATTTTATTTTATTTTTCTTTTATTCTTTCTTTCTTTGCTATAGGGTGCACGCAACTTGGCAGAGGTGGGAGAATGTCACTGGGAACAAGGAGAAAAAACCATCCTGGGGCACCACCATGCAGCAACCCCTTTTCCTCTGCTCTCCTCTTGGGATTTTGGGTATGCATGCATATTCGCCTGACATGTTTTTTAAGCTATCGGGTCCTGGACTCAAACCATGCAGTCAGCCATGTGCAATCAGCCACCTTAACCACCATTGCCACCAGCTGGTCCAACTACTAATTTTTGAACATTGATTTTTGTGTTCATCAGTGTTGAAGAACTCTCTTGTAGATATTGATAAGATGTCAAAAAAAGACTTTAATATCTTGTATAGTAATATTATTTGTGTATAGTGATTCCATTTTCTCTTTTCAAACCTTTCTTTTTTTCTTTTGTTGTCTTTCTACATTAGTTAGGACCCACCAGAACAATGTGGAATGGCATAACATCCATGTCTTATTTCTGACTTTGAATAAAATGTTTCCATTATTTTACCTTTAAGTACTATACTTGCTATAGGTTTTTATATCCAGGCTGGCCTAACCATTTCTAGTTCTTTTTTGTTTATTTTATTTATGATAGAGAGCACATGAGCATGCATGTGACAGAGAGACAGAGAGAGAGGCATCTTCAATGGTGTTTCTTTACACCATGATCCTCTTCCCTCACCTCTCAGGTTCCTGGACCCTGTTCTTGGTAATGGGGGATCTGAACCCACAGGTGACCGTGCGACTCCTGGCCCTGCAGTTCAGCACACTAGTACCTGTGCCATCAATGCTTGGCCCATTTTTGGTCTTCTAAGGATATTTCAAAATCATGATTGTTAAACTTTTTAAAGTGCTTTTCTCTGTATTTACTGAGGGGATCATTTAATTTTTGCCCTTAATTAGATATGATTGTGGATGACACTAATAGATATTGAAAAATAGAATATTGTTCATTTCTAGGATTAAACCCTCCTTGATTAAGACCCATTTTCAATGAATTACAAGTATTTTATTTAGTTTTCATAGACCTATACTTATATGTAAGACTAGACAATAATTTCCCCTTCTGATGCTGCTCTTGTCCGGTTTGAATATCCTACTGGATATTCAAGAGTGTTACCTCCTTACTCTTCGGCTCTTACCACTACTTGCCAACAGCTCTCAAAATGACATCTCAGTAGATACTTTGTAAATGTTGTCTCCTAAACCTGTGTTTAAACCCCTTTGTTCCATGTAACACAATCGATCACTTCCTTCTTAAATGTATTGTTCACTATAATAACCATACCCTCCTCATTCTCTCCTCTATTTTCAGAGTTGGTGTCATCTTTTCTCTGTATTCTCCCTTGACCATCACCCTTCTCACTCTGCAGATGTTCCCAAAGTGAACTGAGGTACCCTCAGTGTCTCAACTACCACCCTCACAGAGATGAATTCCAAAGTGCCTTCAGTCCAGATCTCTCCCCTCGATTCTGGATTTGTCTGGTTCCTTCTAGCAGTCCCAAAGGCATTCGGGACTTAACACGTTTAGAAAGGAACTCATCATCTTCTCCACTAAATGAGTTTATCCTCCTGTTGACACAATCTTAGCTCACAGCCCAATTTTCTATACTTACCATCCAAGAGGGAACCTTTCTATCATCATTCTCCTTCATTTCTCATATTTAACTAATTATCATGCCATGACAGTTTAACTCCCTAAACATTTCTTGACCTGTTCCTCCCTCCCCATCTTCACTGTCCATGTCTCCCGGCTTTATCTTTCATCTGCACTAGAAAAACAATTCGGTAACAAATTTCCTTTGCTTTGTTTATCTTAAATGTAGCCACAAATATAGATGCAACTATGACCTCTTTCTAACTGTCCTCTTTAGAGAAATAATTCATTATAGAAGTAATGTATATAATCTTGGCATGCCACTTTTCTGACTTAGAACTCTTTAGCATTTCTACATTGCCAACAGTACAGTTTATACGTTTTTACAATGGCTTTCAGAGTCTATCGTTTTTCTTCTTTAAAGAATTGTCTATTTAATTTTATTTATCATCACCACTTTTAAAATTATTTATTTATTTGTTTAATTGTTGTGATATTCAAGCAACTGGGGCTAGGACTTGAACCATGGTCGGCCATGTGGGAATCCAGTGCATTAACCACCACACTAACTCCTGGCTCCTTTAGCACCATTATTTTTTAAATTTGCTTCAGGATGTGCATGCTCATCAATGAGAGACCGAGAGAGAGAGAGAGGAAAAATGAGAAAGCAAATGACCAGGTCCAGGATCTGAACCATCATTGGCCACATGGGGGTCCAGTGCCCCAACCACCATGGCATCCCTCATTTAGCCCTTATCTTTATATCTGTCTCATTCACATCTTAATCTTACTTCCAGTAACTCAAAAATGTTTGTAGTGTCCTGCATAGCATACACATTTTTTCTTCCCCACCTTTGCCTGTACTGTCCTTCCTCGAAGGTGCATCTTCACTTCCAGTCACCTTTCCTACCCCAACCCAATCTGGTTTCTCTTCCCAACTCTTCCCAACTCTTCATATCCTTGAAGATCCAACTCAACTGTCAACTCATTCAAAAAGCTGCCCCTAACCCTGATCCTGCTGGAGGCTTCACCGAGTGCCTCCCTTTAATGATCTCATAAAAGCTGTGGTTGTTTTTATATTTTATACTTACTACATTGCCCTGTAATTCTAGTTTATGTATCTTCATTAAACTGGGAACTCTTTTAAAGGAGCGATTTGGTTTGATTCATCTTTGAAGTTCTAAAACCTAGCAGAGTATCTGGCACATAAATATTTGTTGAGTTCAGTAAGTAAATGATTTAACTGAATTGAATATGTTCTTTGTAAAAAAGTTTGATTTTTCTCTCTATTATTACTTAAAATTGAGTTTTTGCTAGCTTTTGACTATGAAGACTTTACAAATTTATTTTTTATTTCTCTAGCAAAGCAACTCTAATAATAATGAAAAACAGTGACCTGTCAGAGTGGCTAGCACAGTCTGGATTGGGGTATGGGGCTACAGGTAGAAACAGAACAAATAGGGACCAGCAGGTGGCAATGTGATTAAGATGCTAGACTCCTATGTGATCATTTGCAGTTTGAACCCCAGATCTATCAGCTTGAAAATCACACTGGGTGTGTGTGCATGCATGCCCATAATTCCAAGAAGAGAATGGAGGAGAAGGGATTGAGATGTGGCCATCCCCCTTGGGGGTGATTTCTTATTTTCCTTCTATCTGTCTCTCTCTATCCCTCCAGTGAATGCATGCACCCTATTGCAAAATCCTAAAAACAAAACAAACCCAGAACCAAATAAAACAGGATGGAATAATGGCATTGAAACATGTCTTAATCAGTCTGGGCTGCTGTAACAAAGTACCATAGACAAAATATTTACTTTAAAAAAATTTTTTTAAACATATTTATTTACTTTTGATTTTCAGGTAGCATGGTGGCACTTCAGCCACCATGCTACCTGCCAGCCCTGACAAGATGACTTATTAATATAAGCAACAGAAATGTGTTTCCCACAGTTCTGAAGGCTAGAAGGTCTAGACCACAGTGCCAGGGTGGTGAGGTCCTGGAAAGGGCCCTCTGCTGAACTGCAGACTTCTGTCTTCCTGTAACTTCACATTCAGAAAAGAGGGCAATGGGACCAGCAGTTAGCATAATGGCTGTGTCGCTGGACTCCCACGTAGTTGACCGCAGTTCATGTCCCGGACCCGGTAGCTTAATACTCATGCCGGGCGTGTGTGTGTGCGTGCCCAAGATCCCTAGAGGAGAATAGAGGAGAAGGGATTGTGGCATGGCCATCCCCCTAGGGGGTGATTTCTCACTTTCTGTCTCTGTCTCTCTCTGTCTGGCTGGCAGCACATGCGCCCTATAGCAAAAACCTCTCAAAAAATAAAAATAAAAATAAAAAAGAGGGCAAGAAGGCTCTCTGGAGTCCCTTTTATAGAGACATGGATTCCATTCATGAGGGCTCCACTCTCATGACCTGATCACCTACCAGAGACCCCTCCTCCTAAGACTATCCTGTTGGGGAATGGGGTTTCCAAATATGAATGGGTGAGGGTATTTTCAGTCCATTGTACCTGTCATCTGTAGCTACAGATTCACTAACTCTGTGGAGAAGAATGATTAATGCCTATCAGCAGGACATATTGTCAGTGGCTCCTGGATTATTTGTAAAGTCAAATATCACCTTGTGGTTTACATAAACTCACCTGAAAAGCCATCCTATGTCTAATGGGGTGATCAGTGCTCTCACCAAACTCCCTGCAGTTCTGGGCTACCCATTTTCCTGGTAGCCTCAGGGTTTGATGTCTGGCCTCTGTTGAATTCCCATTCTTCATTCTGTATCTTGCAGCTGCTGCTTTGTCTTCTTTTGGCACTGACCCAAGGGTGGTGTACAGCCCCTCCTCCTAGATTTCCCACCCCAAATTCATGAGAGGCAGCTGTGTGAGGTAGGCTCTTCCTGGAAATTGGAAGATACTGTTTTCCGTAGGGGGCTGTATTGCAAGTATGTGGCACTCTTCAGCAGCCAATTGAAAGTGGAAATCTTGGCTTCTTTGTTCTGTTTCCATCAACTCAAGTGTAAGCCTCCTGACATTTTGCTGTCTTCTCTCCTGTCTTCTTCCTCATTTGCCTCCTCTCTTTTCTTTGTGTATCACCCAGTAATTTCTTATGCAGAACAATTTTGTGATCTCTTGGTTGTTTCTTTTCAACTCACCATAAGCATCTCTCATGATAGTATTCTAAACAAAAGCAATTCTTTACCCAAACTCTTGTGCTAGTTTATAAAATAGAAATTTTCCGTTTCTCCCCTAAATTGTTATTTCTAGTATATATATTTCAACTAACTATATAACACATTCAATATAGAGCTTTTATTTTTTACAGAAATTTTTGCTATAGGGCACATGCACTCAGCAGAGACAGAGAGAGACAGAGGGACAGCAAGCAAGAAATCACTTCCCGGGGGATGGTCATACCACAATCCCTTCTCTCAGGATCTTGGGCACGTACGCACATGTGCCCAGTGTGATTTTTAAGCTGTTGGGTCCAGGACTCAAACCGTGGTCAAGTGATATAACCATTATACCATCTGCTGGTCCCCAATATAGATCTTTTTAAAAAGTCACGATAGAGTGCATGCATGCACACGATAGATAGAGAGATAGAGACCCTCCACAGAGCTCAGTCTTGCTGTGATCCTCTTCCTCCAGTCCTGCATCTTGCCAGGATCCTGGGTACCCATGCTTCCACTAAGCGTGTTTTCAGGATGACCAGAACAGGGGTTCAAACTGTGGCCAGCATGTGGCTTCCATCTCCACAGACCAGTGTGCTACCGACGGCACTGGAGAGGCTGGGTCAATATTAATCATTTTAATCCATGAGGTTATTTATTCTCAACTACATCTTTTATTTTGTCATAAAATCTTACATTAAAAAAGAAAGTATTTTTAGGGTTAGCTAGGTGGCATGGTGGTTAGGGGGACCGGATTCCACATGGCCAAACGTGCAGTTTGAGTCCCAGACTTGATGGTTTGGAAAATATGCTGGGTGCATGTGTGTGCATGCCCACATCCTGAGAGCAGAATGGAAGAGAAAGAATTGCAGCATGGCCATTGGCCCTGAGAGGGTGGATTTCTCACATTCCCTCTCTTTTCCTCTCTGTCTCTGTTGTTAAGTGCACATGCCCTATAGCAAAAACTAAAAACAAAACCAACAACTTTTAGTTATAGCTAATGATTGGTGCTTACATCGATAGAAATCCCAGTGTTCAGGTTACAAC